AGAAGAGAAAATTGAAAAAAGAGAAGGGGGTCTGAATACTTTCTGAAAGCACTGTATGTTTGTGTTGAAAATAAAATGCTGGATCTGTTGGACTGTTGACTCTTATATTCTAATTAGCAACCATAGTCCTTTGCTAATTCTAATATATAACATGTTTCTATGTTCCTTCTTTGCTTCTCTAGACATGCAGCATTAAACTGAGTGGTTTCTAATTACTTAGTTTTCCTTTTCAAGCTGTAGCTTAATCTTACAGTGGATTTAATAAAACTTGCAAAGTGACTGAAAGGAATTACTCAGTGATACATCAAAAGCAGCCTTCTGATTCTGATACCTTTTAAATGTGTTTGAATCAAAATGCTTAGAAGTCCCAGCCCTGTTGAGCACAGGTTGAGGAAGTCTTATCTAAAGCATTTAGGAATTTTAAACCTAAATAATGGGTGGGAGGGGTAGAGGTTGATAAAATATCAGATGGGATTTAAGGAAAAAAATTCCTTTTATATTAAACTATGAGAAGACTGATGAACAAAATGAAATATTTTTATATGGATACTTTTAATCTTGGGATTTATTTTAAGATTAGGTGATGATTGATTTATAGGGCTTTTAAAAAGCAATTTTAAAACAACTTTTTCTATAATGTTTCTGGAGTTGAAAGGTTTAATTCTATTTGTACCTGACATGATAGATAAATAGGATTTCTGAATTCAGAGCTGTCTAATCTTGTATCATTTGCTTGAGGTAAACAGGAAAGAATACGGCCTTCAAACTCTACTTCTGAGCTTCACAAAAGCACCTGGCAGGCTGCCACGGGTGTCTACAAGGTGGATGAGTGATGCCATGCACATCATGGTGCAAATTATGTAATGGTAATAGTTGCAAATGATCATCATTTGCACAATGACATGATGTGCATGGTGTTGTTGTGGCTGCTGTTAAAAATAATACATTGGACTACAAGAGGATAAGAGATAGTTATCTTTGTGGAGATTTTTGTTCATGTACTTTGTCAATTACTAGGATACAGATACTGTTCTCTACTTCATGCCACATTTGTGAGAAAAGAGTGACATACAGTATGTAGTAAATACTAGTAGGTAAGGCAGGAGGAATGTTGGCTGACTACTTTTATGAACCTGTTTGCATGGTCACTAGGCTAGACAAGCTTTAATCTTAAAGTAGTTCTTAATTCGGTGCAGGAGCACTTGCTTGAAATCACATTTACTTTTGATTTTGTGTGCCATCAAGTTGCTGTCGACTCGCAGCAACAACATGCCTATACTCTCTCAAGATGGTATATTCCTAACCTGGTCCTCCAGGTCTTCCATCAATATACCCATTGCCATTGTAATTGAGTCCATCCAACTTGCATCATTAAAAACTGATGTTGCAATTTTTCCATGTACAAGTTCTGGCACTAACCATTTATAATTGTGCAACATGGGCAGCATTGCAGCTTTGGGCAGACCTTAAAGGGCCATTAAGCAATGTTATCATTCAGACATTTTGTTTATTTCATTTGTAATAACAAATTGTACATTCAGAAATATCATGCAGTATAATGTAAATGCATGCCTTAGGGCTTTTGAAATTTGGAACTCTGCTTGCATGACCAGGCTTGTGATGTTCCAAATATGCATCAGCATAGAAGATGCCTGGAATGATATATAGTCTTTATCCATGTAATATCAAAAATGAAAATTAAATCAAGTTGTTCAGGGATTACTGTTATTACTTATTTCTTTACTTACCTCCTAATAATGAGATCTCTGAGTGATGTACAATATATATAAAATTATACATAGTATAAAAATCATTGAAAAAACTAAATAGAAAACAGCAGAACAGATATAGCATGAAATCACCCTTTATAAGTACAGTGCTAAACTTATAAATCACCAAATGTTTCACGATTAGCCTGGGACAAAAAATGGTCTTCACCTGTACCTTTCTGGGAAATCTCTGTGAGGAAGATGGGCACCACCACTGAAAAGACTTCTGCTAGCTACCCACCTTGCTTTGTTGGGGGATCAGCTGAGGAACAGTTTCATCTGAAGATCTTTGGGTCCTCATTGATAAATTGGAGAAGAGATATACTTTCAGCTGGTTTAAAGCAACTTAACAAACACTTAAACAAAAATCCTCCTGTGAACTCTGCATCTTCTCAGTTGCCCCAGAAATGTTTCATATAGGATATTCTTCTCATAACATGTATCACAGAAGAGAAAACTGATGTTGTGAATGAGCCCTAAGTTTTTGCTGGAAACTATTTTGAATCTTGGATTATTAGCTAAAAAGATGTTCTCTTTTTCATTTCAGGAACTTCAAATATATCTTGAAAATCTGGGAAAAGGAGTGCAAATTATGTTTGAGTACACAAGAAACATTTGACGTACTTTCCTCATCTGGGGGAAAAAAAGTTGTAGATCATTCAATGCCTAACATCGTAGACTCTCAATTAGAGAGTGATTCTGAAGAAAATGGGCACAAAACTGGAAGAAAAGCTTCAGAAGTTAATCTGCATGGTACTGTAAAATCATTTTGTGCTCCAGGTACCTCAGTTGCATCTCTGGGTTCTAGTGGGGACAGGCATTATCCATGGGGATGTCCTGTGACTCACACCCGAGAAAAGTTTTATACCATTTGTTCAGACTACGCTTTTTTAAATCAGGTAACATCTATTTGCAAAAGCCCAAGTGCTACAGTTAGTGCCTGCTTGCAAGAAAATGCTGCCTTAAATGATGAAAATAATTCTGGTTTTATTAGTGTTCGAACTGGACCATCGGATTTAGTTTACAATGAAGATTCTAACCTGGAAAGTTTATCTATTAGTCTTGGAAAGCTGCCATTGGCATGGGAAATTGATAAGTCTGAATTCAGTGATACATCCCCAGATTTGAAGAATCGAGCAGGTATATGAATAATTCTATTTAAGCATCTAAATGGTCTTTCTTATTCTAATAAATGAAAAAAGATGAAAATACTTTATTCTTCCTTAATATCTTCTTCTTGCTTGTTTATACACTGGATATTACTACAGTTTTAATAGTTAAGAACAATTTTATAAAATAATAGAATTTTTTTAGTTTGTTAAAATCACATCTTGAATATTGTATTAATTTACATATTCATCAGTCATTCTCAACTGGAATGTTCATGGGGAATTAGGTTTTCTTCCTTATTCCTAGCATCAACTTACTATTTAGATGGAAATTAATATTGATATGATTCTAGTAACAGAGTTCCTCAAATCCTCAAAGCAGTATAAAAATAAAATAAAACAGGATCTTGCAGGCCAATAAAATCGTACTGCAATAATTAGCAGCATATGCAGATCACCATTTGTATCTGACCCCAAAAGAGAAATGGCTGCCTTAAAATCTGATATTGTACCTTCTATATTTATGGCATTTTAAATAATAAAGCCATGTCCCAAGGAACTTTCAGATTCATATGTGACAGTAGAAGACCCACTGGAAGGAAGGAAGGGTGAATGTGAATGAAGTATTACAGAGTAAGAGTATACAGTGGTACCTCGGGATACGAACTTAATCCGTTCCGTGACTCTGGGCGTATCCCGAGTTGGTCGTAACCCGAAGGAAATTTCCCCATAGGGTTCAATGTAAATCCGGTTAATCCGTTCCGCCCTCTGAATTTGGTCGCACCCCGAGGCAAATTTCCCCATAGGGTTCAATGTAAATCCGGTTAATCCGTTCCGCCCTCTGAATTTGGTCGCACCCCGAGGCAAATTTCCCCATAGGGTTCAATGTAAATCCGGTTAATCCGTTCCGCCCTCTGAATTTGGTCGCACCCCGAGGCAAATTTCCCCATAGGGTTCAATGTAAATCCGGTTAATCCGTTCCGCCCTCTGAATTTGGTCGCACCCCGAGGCAAATTTCCCCATAGGGTTCAATGTAAATCCGGTTAATCCGTTCCGCCCTCTGAATTTGGTCGCACCCCGAGGCAAATTTCCCCATAGGGTTCAATGTAAATCCGGTTAATCCGTTCCGCCCTCTGAATTTGGTCGCACCCCGAGGCAAATTTCCCCATAGGGTTCAATGTAAATCCGGTTAATCCGTTCCGCCCTCTGAATTTGGTCGCACCCCGAGGCAAATTTCCCCATAGGGTTCAATGTAAATCCGGTTAATCCGTTCCGCCCTCTGAATTTGGTCGCACCCCGAGGCAAATTTCCCCATAGGGTTCAATGTAAATCCGGTTAATCCGTTCCGCCCTCCGCCCGAATTTGGTCGCAACCCGAGGCAATTTCCCATAAGGTAGCTGGTCGTAACCCGAAAAATTCGCAAGCAGAGGCGTTCGTATCCCGAGGTATCACTGTACATAAATATATTCCGTGTGTATCAGTATAGGCTTCAGTTCATCTGAAGAATAAAAGTTTAGTGTTAAGCTAAAGGCTTTATTAGAAGTAAATTGAAGGAGGATCAAAATGTCATAGTGCAATGTTTCCCAAACTTATTTGGCCATGGAACATTTGGGGGCATTAAATATGCTGATAAGGGATATGTAGCTATTCAGTTCTGAACTGCAAAAGATATTTTGAGGAGCATGTGGGTGTGCTGTCTGGGGTCCAGTTTTTTGACCCCCCTTTAAGGAAGAGGGGTCAAAAAGAAAGATCGTTATGCAAACATAGGATTCTTTAATATCCTGAATATTTAGAAATAATTTATTTAATTTATTTACAGGGAATCTGAAGAAACAGGGAAGCAAGAAAACGATTGTAGATAAAAGAAGTAAACAATACAGGGAATGTCCACAGCATTACACCCTGGAAGAAATAAAGCCACGGAAAGTGTTAGACCTCCGGAGATGGTAGTATTTGAAAACATTACTATTGCTATAGTTCTGTATGGCTGAATACTTTAATAGAGGGCAAATAAACTTTTTATAATTGGGGAACCGTGCCTTTTTCCTTTTTAGTTTGGTGGCATCTAAGTGCCGTGTGGCAAGAGCCGAAGACATTTTTGTGGGAGGAAGTTGAGACGTGTAAAACTGCAACGTGTTTTAAGCCTTGTGGTTTTCATTACTGCAAATGAAAGTTTGCCTCTAAAATTTGTTTTGAAGGTACTGCATAAGTCGCCCCCAATATAAGACTTCCTGTGGGATTTCCTCTCTAGTCTCTTGCTGGAATTTCCTATATAGCACAATGGGAGCTGGAAAGTAAGTTGATCTTCAGTATGTTAAATGTGTTCTTTTGGGGATCCAGTGAGGCTTTCATTGTAATTAGCACGCTTAAGATGCAGCTTAGTCCTTGTTTTCTGTAGCCGTTTATATTCTGAACTTTTGACTTCTAAATCCAGCTTGTCCCCTATTACTCAAGAAGAGGCTTTGTACATCTTGGGCTTCCAACCACCTTTTGAAGAGATACGATTTGGTCCGTTTACTGGAAATACTACGTTAATGAGGTGAAAAGTGTTCTGGAACTGTCTTGTGCTCATAATACTGAATGCATAATGGGCGGGAGGGCGCCTGTGTGTATAATGCATAATTTTTATTCTGGAAAAGAAAATTAGGCTGGTAGTTCTATAGCATCCTCATTGACTGATTTCTAGGAAAACATATACATAATTGTGACATAAACAGAAACAATCTTAGTAGACTGTTTTAAACACAACAAATTCTAATCTATAAGCGGATTTATTTGTAGTAGTAATCCATGTGACATGTGGCTGGGTTGCATTTGGGCCATATGGAAGAAAGACGAAAGAAGCCTCGATTGTTACTGGTAGAATTACTTCTGTAAGAGGGACAGGACAAGCAGGAGCAAGCAGGAGAGGGAAGGACTGTAAAGTAAGTTGGCCAAACAAAACAAACATGGAGCTTAGGAAAAGTTGTTTGAAAGAGGGTGTCCTCCAATAAGATCAGAAGAAAGGAATGACTGAATTTGGGAATGTTTATTCTCAAATTGAAAAAGAAACAAATGTGTCTGTAATCAGAATCAAGGGTGTTTAAAGTCAATGTGTTTTTTAGCAATGTTAGACCTCTAAGAAATATTTTAAAACAAACACAGGCTGCAGTCCCAAATAAGCATGCATGAACTGGGATTATAATTATGCTACATATCTGACTAAGGGATAGTGGGAATGTTAGCCATGCCATGTGATCTGTGTGCCAGGAGAAATACTTTTTTAATGGTTTGATTGCTAATTTGCATTTAAAATTGCTAATTTGCATTTAAAATACAAAATTCTGCACTTTGTACTTTTCAGGTGGTTCAGACAAATTAATGATTATTTCCATGTAAAAGGATGTTCCTATTTTCTCTATAAACCTCATGGGAAGTATAAGACTGCTGGAGAAACTGGTAAGAAGGCAGTTTTAATGATGTGAGTAACTCTTTGTAGCTGTTAAAAGAGCAGAATGAAATGGGTGGTGGTGGAGAGTCCAGTAGAAAGTTCATTTGTTTTTCACAGTTGAATTTGCATACTTTTTTTTTGTAGGATTAGCATAATTTTTCCTGGATTTTATGCTCCCAATTGCCAGTTGAATATGGAGAAAAGGCTGTCTTACCTTTCTTAGGCTTGTTTCCTCTGAAGATCTGTCACTAGAGCTCCTCTGCTCAGGAAAGGAGAGTTGAATGAATGTGGCAATGGAGGGATGGAGCCACATCTGTGCTCTCCACCCACTTTAGAGATGTTGCAATTCACTTGAAATTATCTGTCTGGACAAGTATTTGCTTCTAAAATAACCAAGGCTATTGTTTGAGAGGTGTTTAAAATACAGGTAGTCCTTTATTAGCGACCACAATTGGGACCAACAGCTCTGTCATTAAGTGAAGTGGTCACTAAGTGGGAAATCACGTGATAGTGCTTTCCTTTTCCCCACTCCCCCACCCTTTGGAATGCTCACCTTGGTGCTGGGATAATTAGCAAGAAGGGAATTAATGTTTGCATTTACATTCATTGGAGAGGAAGGGATTACAAGAGAATAAGCAGGCACACAATAGGGAATACACATTGAAAGCAATGCACTGGCACCGGCAGCCACAAGGATGCTACACAAACAGGCCGGTGTATTCCGCATTGTGTGCCTGCTTACTGTCTTGTAATCCCTTCTTCTCCAATCTCTCTGCTCTGCAAGCGGGAGAAAAGAAAAACAACAGGTCAGGCGCAGGAGAACGTGTACTGATTGTAATGGCGATCATGTGACTGAGGAACGCTGCGAAAGTCATAAATGCGGTCATTGGTCGTAAAGTTATTTTTTCAGCACCATTATAACTTTGAACAGTCACTGAACAAGGCAGTCACTAAGTGAGGAGTACCTGTATGTTATTATTTTACATTATGTTACATTATATTAATATGATTAGAGTCCCTGAAACATTAGTTAATAGTTCATAATTTTTTTTGAATTGATGTTAAATCTAAAAGTATGTTTCTTCTTAATATCAAATAAACCAAACAGTCGCTGAACAAGGCAGTCACTAAGTGAGGAGTACCTGTATGTTATTATTTTACATTATGTTACATTATATTAATATGATTAGAGTCCCTGAAACATTAGTTAATAGTTCATAATTTTTTTTGAATTGATGTTAAATCTAAAAGTATGTTTCTTCTTAATATCAAATAAACCAAACAGTCGCTGAACAAGGCAGTCACTAAGTGAGGAGTACCTGTATGTTATTATTTTACATTATGTTACA